GCAGCTCAGGTCCCCAGGTGTTGAAGTGGACCCTGTGGGGCCTTGGGGGTGGGCAGCGGGGATTTGGTGCCTTAAGGAGCACTAGGCTTGGGTTGGCACACAAACTGGGCTGCTGCTGAGTGTCAGCAAGAGAGAGAGAGACAGAGAGAGAGAGAGGAGAGGGAAGAAGAGACAGAGAGAGAGGGAGGGAGGAAGACAGAGACATAGACAGAAACTGAGAAGAGACGATAGCGAAATGGAGAGAGAGAGAGAGAGAGGCAGATGTCCCCTCCCTGAGGTGCCCACAGGCCTGCGGATGACGTGAGGAGCTGACAGGACCCCCGTCCATCTCCACCAGCTGCGATGCCCATCGAGATGGACTTGGTGAGTGAATGAACCAAATGAACAGACCAGGCGGAGTGGTGCTGCATCACCTTCCAGGTGCTATCTGTCACTTGGTGGATGCCTTAGGCTCTTTCAAGGCTGGTGACTGACAACATCCCACCCCGCTGGGCTCCTGGTGCATCTTGCAGACCTCGAGGGCGCCGGAAGGGGCTGGCAGTCCTGGGTGACCCCCACCCCCACGGCAGGGGCCTACCTTTCCACCTCACCGACAAGGCCGCCCTCCATGAGCACCGGCCATCCACATCTTCCCCTGACCTCCTCAGGAGTGATGTCTCTCTGCCTGCCTCTCTGTCGCTCTGTCTCTCTCCTCTCTCTCTCTCTCTCTCTTCTCTCTCTCTCTCTCTCTCTGTCCCTCTGTGTCTTTTGTGACTCTGACAATCACAAAAGGCTCACCGGGGTGCTGGGTCTTTCAACCTCCATGAAGCCTTCCCTTCACCATGGCAACCACGTCCCCAGCGGCCGTCAGGAGAACCCGCTGTGCAGGCTCAGGGGTCCCCGACTGGCCATCTGAAGCCTCATCAGAGAGGCCATCAGTCAACATGGTAGTGGTTTTCGTGCACGGGGCAGTACAGTAGTGTCACATAACTGCAACCAGACCAGGGCACGGTCACGTCCTCCGCGAAGAGGACCCTGGGTAGCTGTGGCACCCAGACCCGGATGGCTCCTAGGGAGGACCCAGGGCTGGGGGTGCAGGAAGGAGGGAGGTGGGTGCAGCTCACAGCTGTCCTTAAGATGGACCACAGGGCAGCATCCAGTCCAAGTGCAGTGATGGTGTTGTACCAGTGAGGGGCAGCCATTTTGAGACAAAGGATGGATGACGGCATGGGACCATAACTCATGTGTTTGGTAAAGCCAGAGGGCCTGGCTCTTGTCCTGGCTGTAAGTTGTAAGAGACAACTCCTCTTAAACCCCTATTGCACGCCGAGTCAACTGCCATTACTCCCATGTCAGATTTGGCACAATGGAGGCTCAGATGAAGTTAAAGACCTTTCCTGAGTCACACAGCTAATAAAAGCCTGGGTGGGTGCAGGGGTCACGCCTGTAATCCAGCACTGTGAAGACTGAGGCAGGAGAGTTCGAGGCCAGCCTAGGCTACACAGAGCTAGGACCAGCACACAGCAGGTCAGCAATTTCCAGTCTCCTGCTCAGGAGTGTTCTGAAACCCATCCCACCCAGTTTCTGCAAGTGCAGAAGTTAAAAGGGATGTAAAAAAAGTAAGAAGCCAGGGAGGCTGGTGAAGGAGGCTGACAGCCTAAGGGACAGTCCATAGTCGGGAAGGACACAGGCTCTGTCCTGGAGGGCGGCCTGACCCAGGGAGGCTTGGTCCTACAGACGCGAAGCGGGAGGATGTCGGGAAAACCAACCCAGTGGCCCTGAACAGAATTCTGAAACATGGATTTATAAGTCCATGTAGACACAAAGACACACAGACCTAGACTTCAGTAGTTGTTATCTGAAGGTTCTGAGGGCCTCAGTGGCCCACAAGCCGGCCTAGGCCCTGAGAGACTAGAACGAAAGGCCACCTGTGGCGACAAGTTAGAGCTTGAAAGGGATAGTCCGCAGACCAACTGGAAGCTTGGACTTGGGTGGAGCGCTCAGGTCCAAGGAGGCAGGAGCTGCGAGAGAGGTCAGCATGGCTGGGGGACAGTGAAGGCCTCCTGGCAGGGTCAGGGAAGATGAACTCTGAGAGGTGTAAGAAGACCCCAGGATCCCATCTGGATCTGAGGCTAGAACCTGGTGCCATGGAGGGTTCAGACATCAGGACCTGGGTCCCCACACACAAAATCACCCACCATGTAGTGGCCCCTTCCTGTCTCCCCAGCCTGGCAGCCGGGGGCCAGGCAGGGAATTGCCCGACCTCAAAGTGAGTCACCACAGCGCAGCCGGGGCTGATTCAGCGAGGGGGAGGGAGTGAGGCCGGGGACTGTCCACCGTCCTGGAGGGGCCAGCCAAGGCCATCGCCCCAGCCGGGTCCATGGGTGGGTCCAGCCAAAGCTCTTGCCAGGAAATGGACCTCATTTCTTTCCATGCAGCTTGGATGGTCCTTATGCCCATTTACAGACATGAGAACCCCATGGTGGACAGAGACAGACATGAGCCCAGGACAGCTCCAGGCACAGCCACTGCAGGCAGCAGGGGAGCCTATGGAACCTGTCTCAGGGAGCAAAACCCCCTGTCCTCAGAGTCCTTCAGCCACAGCCCAAGACTGTGGGACATGGTCCCCGAGGAGCTGGGGACACATGAGGGTGTCAAACTGCAGAGAGGAATCAAAGAGCAAAGAACTCGTGAATCCATGGATGGATGGATGGATGGATGGATGATGATTGGATGGGTGGATGGGTGGATGGGAGGGTGGGATGGATGGGTAATGGTGGGTGGATGGATGGATGGAGTGGATGGGTGGAATGGACTGGTGGATGGGTGGATGGATGGATGGATGGGTGGATGGGTGGATGGATGGGTGGTGGGTGGATGGGTGGATGGGTGGGTGGATGGGTGGATGGGTGGGTGGGTGGGTGGGTGGGTGATGGATGGGTTGGATGGACATACGGGTGGATGGATGGATGGATGGATGGACAGACATACAGGACAGGCGATTTTTTGGATGGATGGGTGGGTGGATGGATGGAATGGATGGTTGGATGGATGGATGGATGAGGTGATGGATGGATAGATGGGTGGGTGGGTGGATGGATGGATGGATGGGTGGGTGGGTGGATGGACATGGGTGATGGATGGATGGACAGATGGAATGAGATGGATGGATGACATATAGACAGGCGATTGTTGGATGGATGGGTGGGGGATGAGACGGATGGACGATGTACAGAATGAATGGTGTGGATGGTGGGTGGTGGATGGGTGGGTGGATGGAGGATGGATGGTGGATGGACATATGGGTGGTTGATGGATAGATGGATGGATGGATGACAGACATACAGACAGGCGATGGATGGATGGATGGGTGGGTGGATGGCGGAGGGATGGATGTACAAAATGAATGGGTGGATGGGTGGGTGGATGGAGGTGGGGGATGGATGGATGGAAGATGTATGGAATGCGATGGATGGACGGGTGGATGGTGGATGCGTGGATGGATGTGGGTGGATGGATGGATGTGGGTGGATGGATGGTGGATGGTGGATGGGTGGGTGGGTGGTGGGTGGTGGATGGATGGGTGGATGGACATACGGGTGGATGGATGGATGGATGGATGGACAGACATACAGACAGCGATTTTTGGATGGATGGGTGGGTGGATGGATGGATGGATGAGTGGATGGATGATGGATGGGTGGATGGATGGATAGATGGGTGGGTGGTGGTGGATGGATTGGATGATGGATGGGTGGGTGGTGGGACATGGGTGGATGGATGATGGACAGATGGATGGATGGATGGATGGACATATAGACAGGCGATTGTTGGATGGATGGGTGGGTGGATGGACGGATGGACGGATGTACAGAATGAATGGGTGGATGGGTGGGTGGATGGATGGATGGGTGGATGGACATGGGTGGATGGATGGATAGATGGATGGATGGATGGACAGACATACAGACAGGCGATGGATGGATGGATGGGTGGGTGGATGGACGGAGGGATGGATGTACAAAATGAATGGGTGGATGGGTGGGTGGATGGATGGGTGGGTGGATGGATGGATGGATGGACAGATGTATGGACATGCGATGGATGGACGGGTGGATGGGTGGATGCGTGGATGGATGTGCGGGTGGATGGATGGATGGATGGGAGGATGGATGGGTGGATGGATGGGTGGATGGATGAGTGAATGGATGGGTGGATGGATGGACGGATGGACCGACAGACAGGCAATGGATGGATGGATGGATGGATGGTTGGGTTTTGGATGGCTGGATGGGTGGATGGATAGATGGGTGGATGGATGGACGGATGGATGGATGAGTGGATGGAAAGGTGGATGGATGGATGGATGAGTGGATGGATGGGTGGATGGATGGATGGGTGGGTGGGTGGGTGGATTGATGGGTGGATGGATGCACAGGTGGGCAGGCCCTCACAGCTCTGTCCCCTAGAAAACCAAACAACCCACAGAGGTAAAGTGGCTCCTCTGACCCGTGGCCAGTGATGGGCAGAGGCCCCAGAGAGTCCACCCTGTACCTGTCAGAGATATGACTGGTGGATAGCCAGGCAGGTGCACCGAGGCCAGTATGGGTGCAAGATGGCTCCTGCACCCACTCTGTGTGGCTCTTGGAAAACCTGTTCTCCTTAAATTTTACCCGTCCTTTTGTGGTACTGGAATTTGAACTCAGGGCCTTAAACTTGTTAGGCAGAAGCTCTACCACTTGAGCCACACAACCGGCCCTTTTAGCTCTTACATTTTGGACCCCCTACCTATGTCTCCTGCTTAGCTGGTATAACAAGTACGCAGCACCATGCCCAGCTTACTTGTTGAGATGGAGTCTCAATAACTTTTTCCCCAGGCTGGCCTTGAACTGAGATTCTCCCCACCTCTATCTCCTGGGGAGCTGGGATTACATATGTGAGCTACCATGCCCTGCCCTGCGTTTGTGCATTTTACCACAATAAAGGGAAAGAAAACAAACTGTGTACACAAGATTTCAGACCAAGAGCTCCCAAGTAAGAGGTTTTCATTGCACATTTAATGGTTCATGCAGCACTTGGGGTAAACAGGGCACAGCGAGCAGTCCACAGAGTCCACGAAGAGTCACAGGCATGGGCAGGACCACATAGGGAGGGGCCGATGTCACAGCCAGGTGGGTCACCAACCTGGATATGCACGGCAGGGCAAGACTGGGTGGGTAGGATTGTTGCTTCGCGTGTCCATCACCCAGAGGCACTCATGCAGCCACTCAGGCCTGGCTGGCTCAAATCAACACATTTAAGGGACACGTTTAAGGGACAAACTGGTTGCAGATGGTTCACAGGTATGGGGGTGCCCAAGGCTGGCTTCCCTTATTTGTTCCTCACATCGGGGAAGGGACACACAGGCTTCCCCGGGGCTGGGACTGGACTCCACGGAGATGAATCTGAGAACCAGACCGGAAGGAACTTCCGGTCCTACAGCGTTATCCAGAATGCTGCAGAAACCCTTCCTGTCCTGTGAGGGCTCCAACAGACATAGGACCAGTCGGGGTTCCGCTCCCCAACCCCAAGAGAAAGGGACCTAGCGTGCACTCACCAGGTCTTGGAAAGTCCCAAACTGAGCTGTGTTTCCTGCCGGCCTGGGCGCCCGGCCAGGAAAGGAGCCATGGGCTCTGCCAACTGTCCCGGGGAAGGTCAGCCTGCCCAGTCCCCTGGGAGGACGGACTTTCCAAGAGAGGTGAGGACAAGCCTCAGCATTCAGCCCGCTTCTCCAATGTCCCCACACACATGGCCACAGTCGGGGTCCCCTCTGGGAGCTGGGCATGGCTGACTGGGCCTTAGATCCTCTTTCTTCAACTTTGACTTCTGCTCTCAGCCTCAATGTCCCTTTGGGGACACCCCCACTTGACACAATCTGTCCCACACATGGGCCTGGACCTGGGGAACCTGACAGCTCCAGGGGCAGCTACAGGAGCTCTTGTCCTCCCCGTGGGCCATGGCAGAACACAGGACCTGCACAGAGGTGGGGCCCAACAAGAATCCCCAGAGGACTCAGAGAGGGGACAGGTGGCACAAGAGAGGCACGCGGGACACACAGGAGGAGGAGGAGGAGGAGGTGGGGGGAGCTGGCAGTGGCTTCTTGGGATGCATTTTTGTTTCTGAAGTGCGCAAGGCAAGAATTTATTCCAAACAGCGAGTCCAGAGGGAGGGAGGCCTATGCCAGGATGCCAGCCCCACCTGGCCACCTCCATGGAGCGTGGCGTCCCACGGCCACGCGTGGCTCAGACAGTGAGCGAGATGAAGCTGTTGTAGCGCTGAATGTTTCTCTTGAGGATCTCGGAGCAGGGGCCCAGCACGCGCTCGAAGCGAGGCCGGTCCAGCTTCACGCACTTGAGGGGTCCCCGGGCCACCACGGTGGCCGCACGTGGTCGGTTTAGCAGCAGAGCGATCTCCCCTGGAGGGCGGAGGGAGGGAGGGTCAGGAGCTGGCTGGAGGGACCCACACCCAGGACCTCGGCCACCAGATGAATTTCGATTTCAAATACACCTGGACAATTTTAGTGTAATATACCTATTTACACACACTAGGATTATTTGCAGTCAGCTGAGATTCAGAGTGAGCTGGACCCTGTCCTGAAACCTTCAGGCAATCTTACCTGGGGTAGGTACTATGGTTTGTGGCCCAGGCCTCCCCCGGGACCCCACACCCCAACTTGTGAGAATCACACAGGTGTGCCCAGATGTGTCCAGGCCTCCCTTGGGACCCCTGCAGCAGGAATGCTGGTAGTGGATGACCCCTGAGTCCCTCACCAAGGTCATGCCCACTCTGGGGCAGCTGTGGTTCCAGGCCAGTCCTGGGCCTCGATTTGAGGTGACACTGGCTGAGTCCTCTGTCTCAGCTGCACTGTGGGCAGTGTCCACTCCACACCCTTCCCGCCAGGGCTGAATGAGGTGCTGCATCCCGAGAGGCAGGGACCCTGACTCACCGAAGTAGTCCGAGGGCCCGAGGCGCCCCACCTCCACATACTCCTCGTGCGGGGACCGGCGCTGGAGGACTGAGGCTGTGCCCTGCGGGGAGGGGACACATGACGGTTAGTGGGGTGGGGTGAGTGCTGGGGGATGTGGGGGTTCTGCAGTTCACCTCACAGCCACCTCTGGCTTTTCCCTTCTCTCCCTGAATGCACTCGGCCTTGGGACCTGACCTCCGAGGCACCATGACCTGGCAGTGTGTCCCCTAGGGTTCTGTCCTGCCTGGCCAAGCACTCATTTTCTTTCTTTATTTTTTATTCTTCAGATATTTACAGTATTTATTTTAATTTTTTGAGTGTATATAATTGTACAAAGATGCTTCATACACACATGTATTATACTTTGATCAAATTAATTCCCCTACCAGGAGCAATGGCTCACACCTGTAATCCCAGCTCTTTGGGAGGCTGAGGTCAGGAGGATTGACGTTTGAGGTCAGCATGGGTAAACAGTTCTCAAGACCCCATCTCCAAAATATCCACAGCAAAAAGGACTGGAGGTGTGGCTCAGGCAGTAGAGCGCTTGCCTAGCAAGTCCAAAGTCCTGCGTTCAAATCCCAGCACCACAAAAATGCGTAGCTAACCCCTTCTTTCCCCTTTTCTTCAAACCTCCTGTTTTTAAGTTTTTAGTGGGTTTCTTATCCTACTTTCAGACATAAACACAATGTATTTGACATTATTCAATAAAGGAATTTTAAAATTTGTATGTATTTATTTTTGGCGGTGCTGGGACTTGAACTCAGGCCCTCGTGCCTGCCAGGCAGGTGCTCTCCCACCTGACCCAGACCCCAGCTGGGGCCTCCATTTTCACTGAATCACACAGCAGCCCCTGGACACGGGATTCACACACCGGGCACATCTGTGTCCAGGCGGCTGGCGGACAGGACTGGGGATGTTTCTGACGGTCACACTTTGTCACAGCGCTTGGCACTGACCTTGAATTAGGCTGAAGGACGATGGGGCGCCAGGACAGGGAGGCGCTCGGTCTCAGGGTCAGACGCCTGCCCAGCCCTGTGGCCCCTCCTGACTCCCCAGGAGGGCACAGGGTCTACAGACGTCCCTGGGTCAATGTTTAACCAGGAGGCCACGGGTGGAGTATCACAGGCCCACGATAGACTCGGGCGGACACGGGGGCGTCTGGACGGCTGAGTGCCGCCCACACTCACGTCCCAGCCTCCTGGGGAGTGTGCCCTCCATTTCCAGCGCCCAGTGTGGGCTCTTCTGGCCCCTGCCTTGCCTGTCCACTGCCTCACTCTGGGCCAGGCCTTCCTGTCTGAGCCACTGTCTCTACCCGTGACCTTCAGGCTTGGGAAGGTTGAGAGACAGCGTTTCAACTTCCCTCAGTAAGAACGTTGCTATATAAAATTTTTTGTTTTTTCGCGGTCCTGAGGTTTGAACTCAGGGCCTACACTTTGAGCCACTCCATCAGTCCTTTTCTGTGATGGTTTTTTTCAAGTTAGGGTCTCATGGAACTATTTGCTTGGGGCTGGCTTTGAACTGAGATCCTCCTGATCTCTGCCTCTTGAGTAGCTGGGATTACAGGGGAAAGCACCTGTGCCCACACAACAGGGGTGTGACCAGCCTATGAGGTTGGCTTTGGGGGCTCCACGGACTCTGGCCCCAGTCCCCAGTCCCCCTGCCTCACAGAACTGCACACATCCCATTTATCAGCCAGGGAGACTGAACACACAGAAGAGCAAGGTGGGCTCTGTTCACCTCAGGTCACCTAGACCAGCCTTGTCAGCACCAGGGCCAGGCTTGGCCCAGCTTAATGAGTAACTCCTACGTCTCCACAGTCTGGGGAGATGGGTCAGCCAGGTGCCCGCTGTGCCTGGACGCCCCAGGCACCCCCAGCAGCCCCCACCTGGCTCCCCTCAGGCCTCGGGGCCACTCGGCTCTGGGCGTCTGCGTGTTTATGAATCCAGCTGATGGATGGAGCAGGACATGTAAACATGACCACTGCACAGCTCCCCACCGCTGGCCAAAGGAGGACGGGCAGTGCCCTCCCTCCTGCCAGGCCACCAGGCAGGATCGGCCACCCACAGGGACAGTGCCTACCTCCCCCATCGGGGCTCTGGCACCTGCTCAGTGAGGTCCCGGGGTGGGGGATCTGCGGGGGGGCAGCAGGGTCACAGGGGGGCGGCCCTGACCTCTCCGATACCCCTGGAGGAACGGTTGGCTTAAAGTTGCTGCCAGCACCGAACACATTAAACCCAAGTGGAGTTTAGATGAGGCTGGGGCAGCTCAGACCCCCAGCGGGGGAGGATGTCCGGTTGTGACACCCATGGTACTGAGCCATTGGTCACACAGATCCTTTCTACACCCAGTATTTAATAATTTTCTGTGTCACAGCTGGAATCATTTTCCTGGCTCCTTAGTCCAGGTTTGTTCTTGACCCCTGCCCTGGGGCCTCTCAGTGAGATGGTCAGTCCTCAGTTAGATGCCTCATGGTAGCACACAGGCTGCCACAGTGCCGGGATTCAACATGGGACTTGGGATAGTCACGAAACCTCCCAAGCAAGATGCCCATAGGGACGAAAGGCAGATAAAATATCCACAGGACAGTAAGGGATACAGCTAGCCATCTGTCCAGCCCCATGTGGCTGGACAGGCATTCCTGGTGCCCTTCTGCACCCTGCCTCCTCCTGCTGCATTGCTATGGGGCTCTTTGTCATAGCAGCTGGTTTCCTGCACTATCTGGAGCACAGAATGTAAGGACAGCCGGTTGATGTCCCCATCCTGGAAGCCACAGGGCTCCCGTCATGCCCTCAAGGCAGCCCCGTCTGGACACAGGCCAGAGTCTCCGCCCACCAAAACTGGAAAAAACTCGCTCCTGTCCAAGATCCGTGGCCCCAAACCCATGGAAGCACCAGATACCCCAGAGGGTGAATCTGGAGCGTGGGACTGAAATGACACACTGGCCACGGCGCTGAGCCACCCGTTCTCCCGTCCACTCTAACTCCAGTCTAAAGTAAACGAGGCCACAAACCTGAGGAAGACAGCCAGGACGAGGTGTGACAACTGTCACCCCCCAGGTGCCTGTGACAGGGTGAGATGACCGATTTCCTTTCAACTGCTCTGATTTTTTTTTTTTTAAACAAAACATTTTCTACAAATTATAAAGGAAGTGGTTTTCATAAGAAGGAAACTAAAGAGGGTGTAAGAAGGACAAGTCTCCCGGCTGGCTTCCCCTTCCCGTAACGCCTGCCGGCCTGGCCACAAGGACCCAGGGAGGACCTCCGTGTTGGTCAGCCTTTTACCCCGGTGACAAAACGCCTGAGAGAGGCCACTCGGAGGAGGAGAGGTTTGTTAAGGTCCATGGGGTCAGAGGTTCAGCCCAGTTGGCTGGCTCCATCTTTAGGACTGTGGAGAGGCAGGACATTGTGGTGGCGGAGAAGAGGGGAGAGAGAGAGAGAGAGAGAGAGAGAGAGAGAGAGAGAGAGAGAGAGAGAGAGAGAGAAGGGGAAGGGAGGGAATAGAGAGAAAGAAAGGGAGAAGGGACAGGACAGAGAGGACGGAATCAGAAAAAGAGAGGCAGGAGAGACAGAATATGAGTGACAGAGAGAGAGAGAGAGAGAGGGAGGAAAGGTGAGAAGGTCTGGGGACAAGACAAACCCTTCCAGGGCACCTCAGTGACCCGCTTCCTCCACCCAGGCCCAGTCCCTCCCAGTCGGGTCAGCTGTGACTATCAATGGACTCACCCACGGTGAAGTCAGAGTCTTGGTGATCCATCACCCCCAAAAGTCCACTGGCTGTCAGTCAGCCCTTGACACATGAGCCTTGGGGGACATTTTCAGATCAAACTGCAACAGCCTCTGACCAGGGTGGTCAGATCTCAGAGCTGGGTTGCTGGGTTGCTGCTTTAGGAGCCAGTATGTGGGAAGATGCCACCGTGGGTGGCTGTGGGTTCCACAGCCATCTTAGCCCATGGACATCCATTACTCTCCCTTCCGTGTTCCTGTGGCTGCCTTTGTCCATCTGCCCAGCACTTATGAGTACTGACCATGTGCCCAGCACTGCTCGGGGGCTGGAAATACTGCAGACAACATACAGAAATGTCCCTGCCATGCTGGGGTCAGTGTGGGGACTGGCAGGCTCAGACACAAGGGACACAGAGCAAGTAGTCTAAGGGGCCAGCAAGGTCCAGCCACAGGGTGACTGTGCAGCTGAGATCCAGAGGCACCAGAGGCTCAAGCCTGTAATCCTAGCTACTCAGAAGGCAGAAATCAGGAGGATCAAGTCTAGGCAAATAGTTCACATGACCCTGTCTCAAAAAAAACCATGACAAAAAAGGCCTGGTGGAGTGAGTCAAATCCCAGTGCCAGGTGTGTGTGGGGGGAACAAAACAAAAGCAGAGGACAATGGTCAGTCAGAAGAGAGCCAGGAGTGTCCTTGACTAAGAGGACCTGGGGAGTGACTGGGCAGGAATGGGGAGAAGAGGGGGAGCAGGGGCCAGAAGGGAAGAGCTTGGGGTGTCACCAGGGCCTGCAGGGGACTTCAGGCTGGTGGCTGAACCTCCCCAGATTCTGACATAAGCCTGAGGACACAGGGATGCCCTCTAACACCAGAGGACCCATGCTTGGGACCTATACCAAGCTGGGCACGAGAGCCAAGTCCAGTAGGGCCTGGTAAGAGGCACTGAGGAGCCGTCCCTGTAAGAAGCACCCCATACCAAACAACAGGAAGGAGCCCCGGGACCACAGAGGAGCCAGAGCACCGCCAAGTCCACAGCAAGAGGCCCGGGAAGAGGCAAAATATTTGTGTTATTTAAAGAAATATATTTAAAAAGAAACAGCACCACTGCCATACATGGAAATGGGTCTTGCTGTCCAGAAATGAAAAGTGACAACGCACAGAGGCGGCGGGTATAGGACATACGCACCCCCGAGGCTCCCGGGCTGCTCCTGACACACTCAGAGCCCAGTCAGGCGGCCGTCCTCTGACTCAAAATCGGCCTACGCTGCAGTCAAAGGCCGAGTACGAAGCCAGCTCCACAGTGCCAGCCAGTCCCCCGCAGGGACACCACTGACCCCAGAATCA